TCCAAATAAACATACATAGAGAATAAAATTACCCTCGTTCAAAGTGTCCTTTAAATTCTCCAATAACTTCATACTCTTTCCTGGCTTTATCTAAAGCCATAACCACAAAAAGATCAGGTGTTGCACTCACAAGATGATTTCCAGTGTCCGACATAGAGAACAAGTATGGAGATAATTGATCGGAAATAGTAGTGGTATTATTGATGTTGATTGCAGATGATGATGGCGTTGTAATTGAAGAAGTTTTGGTGGTTGTGATAGTGGCAGAAGAAATATTTGAGTTTAACGAAGTATTAATTGATGATTGTTGATAATAATTTTTTGACTATAATATATATTAAAGTTAGATGTTTTTATTTATTATATAATAAACTATTGATAATTTTCAAAAAATTACCTCAATAGTATTCCACTCCCAAGCTTCATTCGGTATATTCCAAACAGAATCTTCTAAAAATTGTTAGTGATTCTCATCAATTAGTCAAGTTATTTGATTATTTTTTTAAAAAAATATAGATATATAGATATGGATGAGTAGAAAACCTCCAAAATCATCAACTTTGTCATTAGTGGAGGTAGAAGCGGATAAAGATAAATTTGCTAATACATTATGAGGAATTCTTCCATATAATGAAAGTTGTGGTTGTGGTTGCGTTTTTGATTTTAAGATTGACTTCATTATAATTTTATTACTGATTCAAGAATACAATATTTAATCATTTTATCAACCAATGACCACCAACCATATCCACCCAATTTGTGCACCATTTTTGGGGTACGAAATTTTGGGGAAATAATAGAACCCCGGAATTTTGTTGTATGATTGTATCATCGAGGGATGAGGTCAGATTAGCCTTGTGTACACGAGGATGGTATGTGAATGACTGTAAAGTGTTCAAGGTGGTGTGTGCGTTTCAATGTCTGTAAAAATTTGAATTATTTCATTCATGCTGCCTTGACATTTTATAATTATATAGTAATATTAATATTACTATTAACGATTACGCAAAGCAAAATACTAATTGTTCATTTGTTACCTTGATAAGGATCTTATAATTACCCAGCAAGATCTGCTCCGTGTTTTGATTCCAATTAAAATTATTTAAAACTAAAGGACACCACATTATATCAATGCAAATAAAAAATAGTACCTCTGGTTAGTTAGTTATTAACATGTCTTCTTTATAGTCGCGGGACATCGCAGATCAAGTGTCATTCAATATAAACGTTACACGAAAAAATTTATTGTCGTCCACTT